GGTATCTAATCGCAGCAGTAAATTACACATAAAGATAGATGGAGTGCCCATTTGGATGATTTTTTCTTCGCTGTAGATTGACTGGTCTAGATATTAGACAATCAAAAGCTCAAGTAATGACAGCAACTTGATTACATAGAGGACTAGGCAACAGAAAGAGTTGAAAATAAGCTCAACCATCCTCAATAGCGAATATCAATGTCAGCCTTAATGAAGGGTTGTTTGCTCACGTAACAATACACTCCTTATAATGTAGATTGTGCTCATCCGAGTGACTTTAATGGCCACCGTAGCAACTGCTGAGGTAACCGATTGCGTTTTTCTACCTCATGAAAAGATGTCTTTCTAGCCGGAATACCGAAACCTGATTAGTTACTTCAACTTCAAGGCCACCCTAGCGAAGATTGAAATAACCAATTAGGATTTCGCATTTCGGCCAGAAAGGCAGATTTCCATAAATTAGAGAAGTTCGATTGGTTATTTCAATTGTCGTTAGGGTGACCTTTAAAGTCACTCCAACAGCATAGTAATGACGATAATAGTAGTAGTAGAATAGTAATGATAATAATTATTATAACATAAGAATATTTGATACAGTGTTTTAGCAATAATTAATTCCATTGTCCTAAAAACAGACAATCCCAAAACACTTCTCTCGTCAAGTAATGGACAAACACACACAATAGACATCTATGCACGTATGTCTTGTTTGCAATTCGCTTTATATTATGACTCATTGGTTTCTACAGTATGTTGTACGTCCTTAAAAGATGATAGATCATGGTTTAGAAAGTACAAACTTTTTCATCGGTTTGCTGCTTACTTTCCAGACTGTAAGAGCTAACTAACATCAGCATATTAACAATGCCCTACAAATGAAGGTCACATGGATGAGTCATCCTGACATACTAGAAACAGACATTGAAGGTTGTCAACATAAATAATAACAATACTAATACTGATACTACTACTAATAATAAAGATTACCTTGAAAACAAGTTGATGGTATACTGTTCAAGGGCAGCTCCGATTTCATTTCAGCAATGCAAAAAGACAAAGAGAAAGAATTCATAGTATATGAAGAAACACAGATGGTAAACTCATTGTTGTATACGTATGCGTGTGAGTGCAGACGGACACTAGAATAACAGCCACAATAAGGTAAACGCAACAAATCTCTATGTACTTTTAAACAGGTATGCATCACGAAATGCTGGTAAAATGTCGAAGACAGGGTTGTGTAAATGGAGTTTCTCGTTGTAGCGAAAATGTATTGCTGTTTCATTCTTCCACTTTGCGTCAGCATCAACCAAGTAGACTGACTGGTTAACATATGACAGCAAATTTCAGTAAATTCCCCAATTACCAGATGGAGATTGGATGGAATACGCGGCCTCTTAAGAAGATACAGAAAGCTAAAAATGAGAAACACCGTCCATCCTCTCTCTATCCACTTATCAATCGAAGCTTTTACAACCCAGGTTTACAGCAAAAAAAGTACAGTTTGAAGACAACGTGAATTCATTACCCTCTTTTCTAACTCCCTCTCTCTCTCTGCGAGGAATTGCTGGTTTTTGAAATGTTACTGATGAATTTCGCTGACATGTAACTAACAGCAATAATACAGATTGCGTATATGATCTTTGATAAACAACAATAAAAATATACGTGTCGGACAGGAAGTGACTATCATGACTAGCTTGAAGTGATCGGTCTCGGGTTCGAGTCCCACTAGGGGGCGGATACATCCAGCTGGTGCGTTCCGAATCGGACAAAACGCGCATCCTGAATTCCACTGAGAGCCAATACCCATCATTAACGTATAAAAAAACTTCATAATTGTGTCGAATCTCTTTGCATAATGACTACTTTCTATCCCATGATCGATAAAATTTAGATGGGACTGGTAACAGCCTAGCAACCGACTTGTTCACTTCATCTTCAGGTATACGCAAAAATTAATATCACAAAGACCAGAAGAGATGTGACTCATGGAAGAGTAGTAACTGGACGGAAGAGTATTGATGCCTATCATTCAGATTTCCGTAAAATGTTCCAAGAAACCTGCTTTAAGCAACACAGCAGTAGACGGACATGATATGACTGAGACTGACAGTTTAGGGAGTTACCGCTGACGCTCACTGTCTCCTTTAGTCAACACGTATGACATTCAACTGTTTTTATTTTTCCCTTGTTCTTTTCCCTTACATTTTTCTAACAAATTGCACTAACTATTCAGTTTTGTCCTTCTTCTCCGATAGCTTTGTTTATCCATTCAAGATTATTCTGATGAGTAGTTTGACTACAGATATGCTGATAATCATTTAACGTCCATTCAATCCTATAATTTTAGATCAATAAGATGAGTTCTGCTCAAGTAATACAGTTCACTGTATCAACAACCCCCCCCCCCCTCCCTCCTAGATAACCACTAACTTTCATTATCACATGATAGATCAATAAAATGATTGTGATAACATTTTAAATTTTGAATTTTTTTATCGCATTGATTAAGAAGTTAATTTTGACTATAGGAAATTTTTAAATATTAAAAAGTGATTTAAATCCACTTATAAACATATTGATCCACTTCTGACTACTGATGGTTAGATGTTTTTAAGTAGAGAATGGAATGATGATGATTGAAGGTGAGATGAAAATTTGAACTGCGGCCGGATTCGAACCAGCGACCAGTGAGCTTTTCAAATTTAAGAAATTTGTAAAAGAAGCAATAAACTTGCTCAATAGAATAATACAGATGAGAAGCTTGGACAGAACTCAAGGGCAGTACCAAATGAAGAAATACAATTAGACTAAAATTATTGGACCGTTTTGTCATGATATTTATCTTATCAGAATAGAAGAATAACCCCGATTGAAGTTATATAGCTTTTAACTGGTAAAGTCCAGGGTGAGTGGAAGAACAAATAAGTAATCAACAAAACCCTTTCCACCTTATGGCATGTAACAGTTCCGTGATTGAATTGACGTCAAAAGTACAAACGAACAAGGATGTTTGGTAATCAAGCATAAAACTATCGATTTTTATTTCCCGATGACATAACCGAGACACCTCTATCTTCGAATACTCAACACCTACCTTACTGCTCTCAACCTATAGACTATTCGTGTATCTTGTTGAGTCTTTTCGTCTTTTTTCGACATGGTGCTTTTCTTTAGTCGTATTGTCCCAGTTAGTGGCTAGAATGTTGAACAGAACACTGATTGGCCATCAGCAACGCTTCAGTTGCCCAACATCCAGCCTGAACTTGAATGGGATATAGACATCGGTCCTCTAACTCTCCTTGAAGTTGAAAAAGCTGTATCGAACCTGAAACAATGCTAAGTAGCTGAACCTGACAGTTTGTTACATGAAGTTTTCAAGGATGGAGATAGAAAATTGCTAACTAGAGGCGAAGGTACTAGGTAGTGTGCAAGATCCTAGGATCTATAGTTAACCTATGCCTAACTGAAGCTCAAGAAATCTAGGTACTTTTCGGACTGGACGAGGGTACATAAATCAAGTTTCCACCCTCAGACAGGTCCTGGGACAAAGGCATACTTACCTGCCATATTTATTGACCTGAAAACGGGATTTGACTCTATCGTCCGAGGGGTGTTGTCACAGTGTCTGACTGTAAAGAGAGTACCGAACTTACCAAAGCTTTCTACTCGAATTCACCCAACCGTGTGAGGGCTTACAGAAAGTGGCCATGAGAATTGACGACAACTAGTGGTGTCCACCAGAGATGCTCACTCTCACGGTTTCTACTTAACTTCAAAATTTAGTGTTCTGCTAGATTTGGAGGATGAACAGAGTTTACATTTCCATAGTGCCTCACATTGTCAAGCTGATATCTAGAACAGTAACCGACACATAACATTTCCAGTGTCCTGGATTCGGATTCACGCTTAGCCATCATATCAGTGAATATCCATTAAACAAGTGAGATTTCGTCAAAATGGAAGACAGAAGCGTGATAAAATAACTGACACAGACAGTGTGCACAATGTCATATTAATTTCTATGGAGGTGTCTGTACTCAGGAGATGTTCATAAAGTTCAATATAAACAATAGCCATCTCTCAGAGAACGTAATTCACTTAAAGTTAGTTTCGCCCTCGTGTCTACAGCTACTGAGACTTTTCCTCAATGATGTCAGGTCCTATGTTGTTCCATGTCTTTGCGTGTATTAGTGATAACTGTTGAATTCTTATGATTTACTGTCTACATAATGAGCAAACTTGGTGGTCTGCTACAGCACCTTTGTAGACATATAACGTTTGGCTGATTTACACGACCATCTATCACTACTGTCATCTTAGCGTTGACCTGGTGTCATGGAACCATTAGGTCAGTAACGAAGAAGGCAGGTTTGGAGCACTAGGTGAAAGATGAAAGTCAGTTGATGAAGTTGTCACCTTTGTCGACTCTGATTGTTGTAACATGTGTTGTGTATCCCTATTCACTGAAATACTAATTGAAATGAATATCAAACTAGAAAAAGGTTGATCATCATGGCTGAACTAAAACAAAACATCAGCCAATGAAGTCTTCAACCGTTAGTCCGAGCCATGTGTGAAAATGTAAACTTCTCGGTTGTAGTCAATGGTTAAATATTCCTAGAAGAGGCAGAAATACGTAGTCTAGGTTCTACTACTGACCAAGTGGTTGACTGGATTGAGTCAAAGCTTAGAACTAGACAACATGAAGATATTTACTATCCAGAGAACAATTACTGTCCTACAAGAAGTGGGATAGCTCAGTGGTAACGTCTTTGACTACAGTACCGTGTGAGGTAAGTTCGAGCCCCTCAGGGGGCCTCAGTTCCCTTGAGTTCACAGGATTCACAGAAATCTAGACGAACCAGGGTCTCTTCAACAATTACCCCTACCTACCTAACATAATATCAATTTCACTATAGTATAGGGTCAATAAGAATTTACAAGTGGAAATAAACTTTAGAATGAATGGAATAAATCAAGGCTTATCAACTTACCATGTACTGAATTTTTTCCACTGGGTGTTTGTGACTGATTGATTAGTTCCGAAAGATACGCAGACATAGATGAAATATGTTGTGATTGTTTTAAACTCGATTGTTGTTGATTTTGTTGACTTGATAAATCTTCACAAAGTTTGGCATTCAAAAGGCTTCCAGCATGATGTAGAGCTGCAGGAGGTGGTGGTGGTGGGGGAGGCTGAGGAGGTTGATTTGGATTCGAAATTAAACCTGTTTGTGTTAAATGAGGTTTCAGTAAGCCGAGTAATGTATACGGAGTAACAGGAGGAATCCATAACGGTGATTTACACTGTGAATTGTTGCTATTATCATCAGTTAAATTGGCACGTGTTTGACGATTCATATCTGCATCGTTTAGTAGACCATTCGATGGTGTTTGAGATAAGTTTAATTCAGGAAACGATGACGGTAGAGTATTTCCCATAATTGAAGGATACGTTGTAAGATTTGATCTGTTTGTTAACGGTGATGTCAGGAGTTGTGATTGCATTTGATTGCTCATGACACACAACAACACATCACAATCAAACTATAACCTGGTATCATGTGCAGTATCATGCATTTATATGTATGACCTGGAAAACAATTCTGTTCACTGTATGTATATATATGTTTGTTTTTTATAAATCAAAGTGAGTCCTTCGAAAAATATATTTATATGCTTAAACTGGGCAGCTGACAACTTTGCCACCACATTTACGACAAGATGACCTGAATTCTGCCAAGACATTAAGCAAATCAGAAGTTTTGACAATCAGTCCAGACATTGACTCAAATGCATGACAGATATTTTAGTGCATTTCATGTCTCACCAAATAAACATACAGGCATGTCGACCACAGGTGTGTCTAGTAAACTACCTTTAGTTTGTATTTGTTTGGTCAGTGTTGTGCGTTCATTCTTCAATTTTGTAAACAATCAACATAGCTAAACATTAAGTACTTGTATTTAAGATTTTCACATCTGGCCCAACGCCTGGCACATGTACCACAAGCGCTTACACATTGGATATCCAGGCTCCCACATATATTTATGCTTAACCAATCATTTTTTCACGCGTTCAACCAATCCGTATTATCATTGCAAAGTCCACCCCCGTAATGTAATTATGGGCTGAAGAATCAGGTCTGATTTTATTTGGCCTTCGCAAAGCACTTTGATTGGGTAATCTTAAGTGACTATTCAAGGATAAACCGCTTTACCGTCGACAATCAACAAAAATTTAAAATAATCTTCATTTTGTTGTCGAAGCTTGTGGCAAAATGTTACGAGCAGTAGCGTGAAATTTGTGAAATGAAAATGGTAAAAATCCAGACTACAGTTCTACCTAAAAAGAGACATTGTTTAATAATAACCATTAGTTGATTTGTTTGCGTGAAGTTAATTTCCGAAACGCTTAAACTGCCTTATTTCTTCTCATTCCAGCGGTACTTACTTGAGTCACTAAGGAAGCATGACAAATGATCAGGACCGAGGTGAAGAGAAATATCTATTCAACTTCACTGCCAGTTGTATATGTGAGCAATTCCACAAGAAGTGTGAGCAAGTGACCAAGAATCTCAAGAGTTCAATCTTTGCAAAATAGAAGAACAGTTGGAGAAACACTAAAGACCTTGGGAGAGCTGGACAGTCGTTTCATGCGAGTATAATAAATGGATGGGAATTACTGAAAATGTCCAAACCTTCAAATATTACAAAGAGGGTGATTACGTTACCACAATATAATCACTTTTGGACTGCATCACCAACAGTCCTCAACCAATAATTTCTATCGTCTTGAAGATCCCAATCAGTCAGTTAGGCGTCTATGGCTTCGTACACGTCTCAGAGGCCCCATGCAAGCGCTATGTGGAAGTCTACCACCCTTAGACCTATGCGGCCTAGTCCTTCTTCGGCTAACATCGTGTATCGAGGTAGACGATACATTAAGGCTTTGTAGTCACAACGTGAAGTACAAAAAGCAACTGCCTTCAGTAACTACATTTGGCTGTTCTTGCTCATGTAAACCATCGACATCAAGTAGGCTACTACCAGTCGAATAACCTATGAATTATATGATTCAACATTTATCAAATGTACTTAAAACATGGAGTAGAGCAATTGGAAAAGTAATCAATGCCCTGGTCAGGTAGCTTTCTCCTAACTCTTCTCTGTAGCGGCAAAGAGATTGACGTCCGGAAATGCAGCCGTTTTATTCAAAAGCATTCACTAGGCTGGGATTTTTTACTGTCACTCCGCTTTTAGGGCTATAATAGTACCCACTTTTAGCTAAGGCTTGCGTAATATGTGTGAGAAGTGTCGGAATATCAGTCTACCATGGTACATTCTGTGAAAGACTGAAGACACTCAAACAGGTGGTCTGTTGGGTACGCAGGGACATGGGGTGCTTTATTCTCCGTCCCTTTCAGATACTTGGGAACTGACACACTTTCCACAACTATTTCAGTGTTTGAATGTGACATTTGTCACCACACCACTGAAAACCCGGAGGAGCTAGAGCTGTTTCATCCCAGTAGTTGACTCCTCAGCAGCCTACACCGAGAGATGGAGCTCAGGTCTTTTGGGCTCCGCGGCAAGGATATTACCATAGGGCGGCTGAGGAGTTCTCTAGTAAGACGAAACAACTGTTCAATGCTTCCTGTCAAGATCTTAGTGACTCTCTAAATGACGTCACTCCATGGTAAATACCATCTTGAAGTAAATAAAATCCCCACAAACCTCGTAATTTAATTATCTTTTTGTTTCTCGACACAATAACTAGGCAATATTTGTTGAATAAGGCTAATTCTTAAGAACTCTCCATTAAATATACAGGTGCCTTTGAGTTTATTTATTTAAGCAAAGCGATGGGTCATGAATTTGTTGGTGATTAAAAAGGAGTAAAGATTTGGGCCACGTAGCTCAATTGGTAGAGTATCCGGCAGGAAACCCATAGGCCTCTGATATGAATCCTGTTGCGACACCGCTTTCATTTCACCTTCACAGTCATCACCCACTATCAATTCCTAAGGTTTCAGTCATAGAATGATTTAAGGTGACGGTAAGGATCTGCCACCCTGAGAAAAACATTTTGTGACCATAAAGTTTAACAATCTGGTACTACAAAGACTTCTGAAGTTATATTTGATCAGTCGGTGACTGTATTGAAATGTGAAGAAGTATCGGAGTCCAGGTACACCGGTGATGAGCTAAGTGTCACACACTAAACGATGAATGGAACTACTGTCTAATGATCATTGGCGATATACTTTGAGATGGATTTTCTAAAGTTCTAATGAAGAGCCGTGATCTGTGAGGTTAACCGAATTGGGTATTACGATAAGTCGTCTGTTGGCGGTCATGCCATGTAGAGAAATGATAGAAAAAAAGAAAGTGTAGATCTCTGCATTATGACTAGCAGCTCAATGAAAACGTGCTCGCTGGAAGATCTCACAGTCATCCCCGGTGGTATCCTGGGTATGCACTGATGAAGGGTTGCAAACAAGGAAGAAACATCTGTCAAATGCTCTCAGGTCTTCGATAATTCTTCAGCTGATGTTAGTCCATAATGAATACTACCTTGAACTCAGTCAATAATCACAGGTCATCAATTGAATATAGATCGAATATACTGCCAATATGGTCCCTAGGCTAGATGATTCATTCACCCTAGTATATCCCCTATAAACTGGTTTAGACTTTTTCACTGAATCTTCGATAAATACCAGTAATTTGAGAAAAGTTGGGAATAACAGTGGTATTCATCACAGGTTGACATCAGTTGGAGAACTACTGAAAACCACCCAAAAGCACTGGACAGCTGTTTTGTCCTAGTGTGGGACTCCTCAGCTGTGCGCATCCGAAACCAGGCTCAGGGTCGAAATCAGGACCTCAGGGTTTGACTGGGTTGAAGTTCAGTGGTTCGTAGTTTTCAACTTCTGTCAGCCATTTTATTTTCCTGGTATCTTGTCAACTGCCCATCCTACCTGGAATATCAACGTACATAGTTTCCTGGAAAATTTAATATACATTATATCATTTTGACTATCTGAGATAGTCGTGGTTTAGCAGACTTTTATCGATACTGGATGATGATTGAAGGTGAAAAGGAAATTTGGACGGCGGCAGAATTTGAACCAGAGGCCATAGGGTTTCTGACCTTACGCTCTACCAACTGTGCACTAGGCCAGAAACCCGGTGGTCGCTGGTTCGGATCCCGCCACCGTACAAATTATCTTTTCACCGGAAAAGAACAGAATACTGGTCAGTGGTTAAGGTGGATTGAAATGGTCATAAGATGAAAGTCAATCATAACGACAAATCCAACGAAGGTTAGTCAGCAGTGACCGGTCGACACAATCACATACGCATTTCAGTGGAAGTTTCTTCAATAAGAGTAACAACAAGTGTAATAATCAAAATATTGAGGGACTTAAGAAAATCAGATTACGTAAGTGGGTTATGAGATAAATAAGCAAAATATGGTGAGTTAAACTCAGTTGGTTAAAAACATTCGGTATGATCAGAAGGTGTTACAACTGAATAAGAGTGAAAGAATAATATTTAAGGCTGATAAAGGATGACGTAATCGAATAACAGTGAGAAAGAGTTACCAAGGTAGACAGAAGTTGACTGCAGCCTCTTTTTGAGGTGTTTCATGGTTCTGACTTCAGCAAACTTTAGGAGAATTGATGACATCTACTTAATGTCTAGTGTCAATCAGATGGCGAGTGATTGGACTATTCAAAGTATTACTTCCCTTCAGTCGTAGTCCCTTCAGAATATGTTCAAAAAAATCGAAGGTACTCCCTTCTTTCTGTTCTTCTAATGTGTCTACTTCCACAGCTACACATAAATTGATATGTTCAGTTTAAAGTAAAGTGGGAGGGGTACTCTGTCGACTTTTGACTAGACTAAAGAGAACAGGAAATTAACATGGGTGAAGGGAAAGTTTTGCCCAGTCATGTCTTCAAACGTCTACTCATAGCTCTTGTTATATCATCACCTCTGAAATTGAGATGAATGTGAATACAGGCTTTCTGTTGACTGTAGTTTTCGTTGACTTTTCATCTTCTGTTCTTCCATATCTATTACTTGTGGATACCCATTGTCTCTTAAGCATCTTTCAACTGTTTGCAAATCTTCGTCCACTTTATCATTCTAACTCTGTGACATATCTCCGTTTGTAGTGAATCCGACAATAGGTATTAAAATTCAGGTAGTTACTATTCCACGTGTTTTTTCTAAGAATGAACCTTTCAAGTGTACCATCAGTCCTGCTTAGTCTGACAAATATCCAAAAAATTGAACTTTCCATCACTTTTCTTTTTCTTAGTTGTCATAAAAAAGTATCGTATACAACTTGGGCAATATGTTAGAATATAATTCCATATTAGGTTTGTTTATCTGATTTATACCACATAATGATAAAGTATCACTTACTTGATAATGTAGTGTAGTTGTTGCGTCATTTCTATTACATGTGATGGGGTGTTGATTAGATGAACAAAG